ATGTCTTCAAGTAGCAGGAATAGTGTCTCTTTCCACGACCGTACCCAGTCCTGTGTTTCTCCATTCTTTCTAGACAACAGAAACAAGAACTCCATTACCATGGCAGTAATATTAATAACAGAAAATCTATTAACCACAATGCCAATAAAACAAGACGCACTACGTAAAAGAAACTACATGTTTCTGTAGTTTTATGGAGTCTATGGTGTTGGGTGTCGCATCTGTGCTTCTATTTTTTCCTTAAATGAACTGAACAAAAAAAAAATACTCAACAGCCAACAAACAGCAAGCCTAACGGTTACTAACATCTGACAGAGGTAAAAAACATGAATAACAGCTAGAACCCATGCTATGACGATAATTTACCAACCACTACTTAATTACATTAGGGACAAAGCCAATGAATCGTGTACAGCTTCCTATTGCTGAACCAGAATGAGATCTTCATGTTGACTCGCATCTGTGCTTCTTAACATGTAATGCACATAGTAATTATATTCTTTCAGTAAATTAAGTGAGATTTATGCCACATGAGACATCAAATTGGAATTAAATGGTTAGCGTATAATCTACAAGGCACCGAGACATAAAATAAGATGTATTGAGTATGACGAAGAACACTTCAAAATGCAATACGGACACTTCATATTTTGTGTTGACATGGGTGTTTCTATGGTGCTGCGTCTCATATCTGCGCTTCATGCGAATACTAATTGCATTATTTTTCAAAAGTTCGGTGGAATTCATGGCACAGGAAACATCAAAGTGAAAATTATAATGTTTGAGCATGCGGTTTCAAAAACTGTCATTCATCAGAGGTCATACAAGGTATCTGCCTGACAAAGAATTATGGTGATACAACTTATCCAATTAACTCCAAAATCTGAAACCATATCACTTTTAATTGTAATTATTTATTCAAAAACATGATATAGCATCCTGTAATAATAACTCTCAACAGAACATTCTACAAAAAGCTCGAATGAGAACTTGAAAAGGCGGGGAAAAACAGAGCAGTAATATAGATATCGTGTGTGTGTGTGTGTGTGAGAGAGAGAGAGAGAGAGAGATCTGTACCTTGTACAAAGGATACTCTCTCTTGGCCTCGGTTTGAATCGCGCCGTCCTCGTCAATGGCGGCGAACCTCGCACCGGATGTGCCAAAATCCAGACCTAGATAAAGCCTTTGATCACCTGATTGAACAGCCACTTCTGGCCTCTCTTTATTGCTTCCAAGAGACATCGCTATTTTCCTTCGTTTCCGAGTAGTATTGCATAACCTATTTCCTGAAAATCAATTTAAAACATCATCATGCTCCGATTTGTCAAGAGAATGCATCCTCCGATGCCGAAGAACATAAACAACACTGTTGTGCTCCGAGTCATCGGAGTTCGGAACTTCCAGTGGTTAGAGAGCTGGCAAACAAGGATCACACTGAAGCTACAAACAGAGAAATATAGCAACAGATTTGGATACTGACGAACCAGAAACTAAAATGGCACTCGCTGGATAGGTCATGGATACAGTCCCCCGCCATACTCTTCTTCTGAACCCTTCTTCCCAATTCGCGCGGATAAGGGACTCGCAGACAATGGTGGGAAAGCAACTACTCAAGACAGATTCCTTTACATATATTTCAAATGTTCGCGTCAATTTGAAATTACACGGGCCCTCTCTTTTTATGAGTGCATGGGCCGAGGAGTGGGTTTGCTTCAAGAATTGGCCCCCACAGGCCTCCCATGCACGAAATGCCTTCTTATATTCTCAAACTGTAAGAATGCCATCCATAAAGGATGTGTTTCAGGATTCAACTTTTCTGCCAATAGTTGCGGCTTAGTAACATGAAAATCCTTTTGCAAATGAAAAATTGCAAGTTCGATTGTATTTGTAATCTTAAACTGATAATATCCGTCTCCTGAGTTAAGAAAATCAACTTATTAGCCAGTAATGGCAAGATTCAGCTTATTAAATTGATCGGCATCACTGTCAATTAAACTTTCTGTCCATAGCACCAATGAAATTGAGTTGTCAGTTTTGTAATTGAATTTTTGCAGCGTCAGTGGTGTTGGGAGTGGTCATCGTCATTAAATAAAGCAACATTCACAGGTCCAGAAAGATGGGTTCGTTTCAACTAACCAACTACCATGCATGCGTTATTATTAACGTCGGAACCGTAGGCAAACATATATATAAATATATATATGTGCCCAGACCTCAATCGGAGTTCTCCCCCCCCCCCAATTTTATAATTAAATTGACGCGTCGGAAGTTCATATAGAGCAGCAAATTGCATGTGAAAGAGGCGAAGGGAGCAATAGTACAAAGAGGAAGGAACGATTCTTCTGTTAGATAGATAGAGTCCACGTCATGGGAATATGAGATGGGAGATGCACATGCACGAGACAAACTCTTTTTTGAATTTTGCAGAGTGGTCCTCTTTTTGGTGATGTTTGTGACTGAGAGGAGAAGCAAACAGCAAATAGCACATAGCTGTCACCTCCACTTTTCAAACTCGCTCACGTGCTGCTGGGGACATCCTCAGATCCTGCCCAATAATGTGGGTTCCATTATACGTATAAAATAATGCTAATAAAAACAAGATAATCACACAAAAGGTTAACAATAATGGAACACACACACACAACATACATATATAGCCTGTCTATTATATATTTATTTATACGAAAAATTGGAAGTCTTGATTTGTGATCGAGATGCCAATGAAGCCTCCCACGTCGTTTCACTCACTTCAATCGTCTCCATTTCATGCGAGCGGGCAGGATTGATAGAAACCCTAACAAGGGAGAAATTATTTCTATCTCTAATTTTTAATATAAAAGTTACTCCTCCGGTCCTAATATAAGACCTAATTATTAAATTAGTTTTGGTCCTAAATATAAGACCAATTTTTCATGTTTATCTATTTTCTCTAAATTATCCCTGTAGATATTCCTTCAACCATAATCAAGTAGAAGAAAAAGAAGGGTATTAAGAAAGATAATTATGGTATTTTAGGAAAAACGTGTCACATTTCTTATAATTAACTAACTTACTTAATTTCCTTAATTTAATCAAATTAGTTAAAATAGGTTTTATATTAAGGACTGGAGGAGTAGTTGGCTAACTTGAGACGAATAAAAAAATTAGTTAAATTAATTATTTATAATAAATATGTATTATCTTTTCTAAAATATTCTTACTAATTAAGTGTATTGTGACTAGAACTATTACTGTTATAAAAAAATCTTGAAAAAAAAAGATAAATATGAGAGATAGAATAAATTAGGATATTATTTAAAAATCAAAATAAAAGTTAATATATTAAAGACCAAAAGTAGTATATAGTTTGGTGAATTACATATTTCATTTAATTTCTTAAATGTTTTACAAGTTTAACGATCAGCATCGCTGGTCGGGCCCGGGGCCAGTGGGAGTGGATGGTGGGGGTGGTTTTTAAGTCAGGCACAAGAAATCAATTATATCTAGTACGTGCAATGGACAAACTTTCTGCCATTTAGTTTGCTATAAAAATGGATAAACACGGCTTTCTATATTATTGCAATGGTGAAAAAGGGAGGACCAACAGGGACAAGGCGTTCCTAATTTTTATTTTCTTTAATATTACCTCTTGTCCTAATTATAAAATCTCATTTATAAAATATAAATAAAGTCTTATAATTAGAACAAGAGATAGTATTATGTACATGTCATATATTTCTGACCCTTAATTAAATTTATGTAAATTTTATACTATATACGTTTTTTAAATCTCGTCCCTCTCATACTAAATACAAACCAAACAAATATTGGGATCATATTTTTCATTGTTCTATCCCTAAATCCGCTCCTGTTTTGAGCAAGATAAAAACGAATAAATCAGACACTACTAACTGTAGATCCGCCATATGCCGCTCTTGTGAAAACTTAATTAAAAAAAAAAACTACTGTAATTCATAGATTGTTTTAAAAAATAAAAGTTGCTGTGGCATATTCTGCAACGTTAATCATGTAGGAGTAAAAACAAAATTTATGGGGTGTTTCGTAACATGAAGTGCTTTTAAAAAAATACTTTTTCATAAAACGAGATAAATAAAAGCATTTTTTTACAAAATGAGTTAAATTCCTTCACATATTTATTTCGTATATTGTAAAAATATTTTTAAAATTATAGTTTGGTTTTCATTCAAATATTTTATTAATTTAGCTAAAAAGTTAGCCCGCGTAATTTTATTGAGGCGTGGCTGGCTTCTTTTTTTTTTTTTTGGGAGGGGGGGATTATAAGATGAGGCGCCAGGCAACATACTCAGGTAAACTATGTGTCATGTACCCGAAAAAGAAAAGAAGTAAACCATATATCAACAACACATATTCGAAAAGAGACCCTCTGTATCTCTATACAGTATACCTCCAGCTTCGGAGGTTCCTTGTAATTTGGGATAGGTTTGGGAACACTTCAAATACTAGTAACATTTTTAATTTACACCTTATAAAATAAAATTCTTCTCGTATATTTATCTCATATGATAAAAAATTATCTGAAATAAGTTGATCAAATGTAAGAATGAGAAAAGCGTACCTGACCGTCCTCGCTAGCATTTCTCAACCATAAACGAATGATCCAATCACCTCGTTTTGCAATCATCATACTATAAACAGCTCCATGATTCTTTTGAGACTGCATTTCCGAGCCCTATTTTCTTCTCAAACCAATAATGACGATAAGAGTTTTATAACACGTCATCTTTCAAGGAACTCCCCCCCCGGGATGCTGCTGAACTTTTTTTATAAAAAAAAACGCAATAAAAAAAGACTTTTAAAATAACACCTGCTAATATTAAAAGGCTAAAGTCTCGTCTTTTTTTCCCTAGTAAGGCGAAAACCTTTTCCAGAGAAGCTTTATGCTCTTTTATAAATGCAGATCTTATAAAAGACGAACATATTTATGGTGACTTCAAAAAGGAGTGAATAAAATAGACGAATTAATATATGCGCTTTGGACATTCAAGTAACCTTGCGAGGGCTAATCTTCCTTTTGAGCGATATTATGTTCTCTTTACTCTTCTAGTTTAGGCCCTTTTTTTTTTTGGGTCCCTTTTCTTCATTGTTTTGAAATTACAGTACTTCTTTTATCCGTTTCAGAGAGGCTTAGTACGACGGATTCGCCATTCGGCAAGGAGGTAATAATATTGTTTATGTCGTATTTTTTGTTTGTACATTGAAGTAATTAAGTAATACCTCCGGTCCTAATTATAAAACCCTATTTAGTTTACAAATGAGATTTTGTAATTAGAACGCAAGATAATATTAATTAAGCAATGTTTAATAATTATCAATATATGGATGCTCCCCATCCAACAAATAAAAGCGACTCATCAAGTGGTCAGTGGGATGAGTCCTGTGGATGCTGGCCCAGGGCATAACAACGCATCCTCTTGTAAAATTATGCCAATAAAGTTTGATGGAATTTGTTTTAAAGAATAAGTTTTTATTACACGGACATGAATGTTTCATCTGGCATTTGTTTAGTTTGTGATAGAGTGAGCGTGTGTAGTGACATGTTTTGTACCTTAGCTTTGATAAAAATAATTATACGAAGCCGTATAATTACCAGGCCTGCATGACAATTTAAATTTTTACGTTACCAAATTGCACAAGTATATGTACAAAACATAATTTAAACAATGAAAAATTTTAAGGGTTGGCAACTTGGCATGATTTTTAGTCTTTTAAGTTCATTCTTATTTTGATTTTAGTTCCTTAAGTTTCCAACCATAAATTTAAAGAGCAAAATAGTCCAAATTTTTATTAGATTATAGGGATCAGTATTTACATGAAAAGAAACTTGTGGGACTAAGACTTATAATTTAAAACTTGAGGGATCAAAATTAAAATGAGGGTAAAATTGAATAAGCAAAATTTATATCAACCAAAATCTTATCATTTTTAATTGCAGGACAGTTATATACTTTTGAGACTTGACATCAAATATGTCAGATGCGTGGTGGTTAGCTGACAGTGAAATAAATCACAAACAAATTAACAATTAAACGAAACGTCAGATCAATTGCAATGGATTTTCTATGATGGCATCCTAATGATATTAAACTCTTATTTATTATTTCTCATTAGATATTGGCGATTTGGCGGGTTGGAAAAGGCAAGACAAGTGGACAAAAATAAATAAATAAAAATTATTGCGCGCGGGATCTCAATTTGAAAAACTTGACGAAATATATTATCTACTCGGACCTGGATCATCTCTGGACGTTGTCTAGACCTAAACCCATATCTCAATACTCAATATAGGTCTAAGATTATCATAAAAAAAAGTTGAATCTAATAGAAAGAGTTAATCTTTCACAATATGACGAATTAAGATTCGAATTCTGTTAGGAGAGGTGTTCACATTTAGTACCCAATAATATTTCGAATATGATTATTTTCAATAAGAAAATACCTATACTTTAGCTAAAAAAAAAACATAATCTAATGATTGAGATCAGATATGAGATGTGAGCAAACTTG